ACCCATGTCAGGTGGCTCACAACTGCCTGGAATTCCAGCTCCAGGGGATCCAATGCCCTTTCTGGGCTTCTGTGGGTACTGCAGACAAAATATCTGTACACATAGAAGATAAAGTAAATGAAAAAATAGCAGCTTTGTGTGTGGTGGAAAACAGAAGCTTTTATGCTAAGTGGGAAGCACTGCCCTCTGTTCTCTATCTGAAACTGTGAATGGAAGTGCCATCCTTTGGAGTAGGTGAGTGGGTATTCAGGGCTTGTCCTACACCCTGCTAATTATATGCTTCCCTGGTGAACTCTGCGGGTGGACTTGATCTCCTATTTGTTTTGTGTTTTGTACAGTATCCACAGCTGCCCTTCAGGCACAGGCTGGTACTCTGTATGGATTTGGTTAGGAGGCAGATCGGATGGAAGAACATGTAGAGAGCCCAGTGAGAGTCTCTGGGGACCTTTCTGCCTTGCAGACCACAGCCAGTGTGCAAGATATGCAAACTGTCAAATCGACACGGGCAGCAATGGCAGAAGGAGGCTCATGGCAGAAATGACCTCATTTCTCACAGTTCCCAAAACACCATGTGGTGAATGCCTCATTCCAAGCAGAATTCCAGTAATAGTTGTGCCCCAGTTCTCCCTGAGAGCTTAAATAATGCATTTCTGCTGTCCTTGTCTCATTCCCCCCATCTATCACAGTGCCCGAGTCACACCAGCTGAATCTCCTCACAGTTGGAAATATGTCTTGTTTGCTGCTTGCTCAGAAATATTTTCTGAGAACAGGGTCAAAAGAAACTTCTGAAGCAGGGTTCTTCTTGAGTGGCATGATTAAATGCAAGCACGTGACCAGGGCATTGTGAACTGGCAACTTCCATCTATAGAAATTCAATACTTCTAAGAAATTCCTGTAGCAAGTGTTATTCAGCCAAACTGATATAAATTATGGAAGAATTAAATGATCCTACGAAGATATAGTCAAGCACATTACCATTACTGTGCCAACCCCAACTGGTGATCAAAGCCACAGCACCTTGTCTTTGTGACATTACAGCACTCAGGTTCTGAGTACATCTTGAGCCATCCCACCATGCTGGGTGCTCCAGTTCACTTGCTAACTGTCATGGGGGAAGTAATAAAGTACAGTTCCTGGGGGGGGAAAAACAGTCAGACTTTTAGTTTATCTGAAAATGACACTGATATATGTTCAGAATAAGCAATAAAGATAGGCAATAAAGACCAGGGAGCAACCTATGCGAAGACTGTGTTAAATGGCATTGGTGGTGGTAGTGATGGTGATGGGAGAGTTGGTTGTGATGATGATGATGATGATGATGATGATGATGATGATGATAGTGCTGGTGATGGTAATGAAGGTGATTCCTTCAGGGATGGAGATGGAACTCAGGACCTTGTATACACCAGGAAAGCACTCTATCTCTGAGCCATATGCCCAGCCCCATAGTGATACGTTTTAAGTCTCGAAATACAGCTCACGCCTTTAATCCCAGCACTCAAGAAGCAGAGGGATCCCTGGAATTCACCTTGTAGAATAAGAGAACTGACTCCTACAAATTGTCCTATGACTTCCATACTATTGTGTATATGTCCACACACAGACATGTAATCATTCATTCATTGTAGCACGATAAATAAAAAAGACCCAGAAACAGATATTGGAGTTCAAGCTTCAAGCTGAAGATCAGAAAAGCAATGCAGCCAGCCACGAGCTCTCACCTCTACCTCAGTTCAGATCAAAGGAGCTATCCTCAAACTGCTCCGGATTTCACTGTTCCTCAGAGTCACTCAGACTGCTACACTCTCCTCAACATGGTTAGTGACTAACTCTCACACAGAATGCCAGCTGCTCCAGTCTTATATACTTCCCTAATGTTGGGATTAAAGGCATGTGATCCCAGGTGCTGATATCACCTTTGTGTGAGCTGTTTCTTTTAGGACTAGATCAATTTCATGTAATCAGTGTGGCCTTGATCTAAGAGAGATCCGTCTACCTCTTAATCCTGAGTCCTGGGATTAAAGGTGTGTATCACCACTCCCTGATCTCTATATCTTGAGGCTCGCTTTGCTTTCTGAATCCTCAGGCAAACTTTCATAAATAATATATCACCACAATTCATTCATTAAGAAAGCCTAAATTTGCCAGGTGGTGGTAGTGTACACCTTTAATCCCTGCACTCAGGAAGCAGAGGCAGGTGAATCTCTGTGAGTTTGAGGCCAGTGTGGTCTACAGAGTGAATTCTAGGACAACTAAGGCTACTCATAGAAAACTTGTCTCAGAAAAAAAGAAAGAAAGAAAAGAGAAAAGAAAGCCTAAATTATGTTACATTATCAGATGCCTGGATGTCCTGGAACTCACTTTGTAGCCCAGGCTAGCCTCAAACTCACAGAGATCCATCTGCCTCTGCTTCCCAATGCTAGGATTACATGCATGTGCCACCACTGCCTAGTTCTATGTTTTCTTTTTCTTTCTTTCTATCTTTATTTTTATTTTATGTGCACATTTGTCTGTGTGAGGAATCCCCTGGAACTGGAGTCGCAGACAGTTGTGAGCTGCCATGTGGGTGCTGGGAGTTGAACCCAGGTCCTCAGGAAGAGCAGCCAGTGCTCTTAACCCCCTGAGCCATCTCTTCAGCCCTAGGTTTTCTTTTTAAATAAGGTTTTTGGGGAGCTGGATATATGGCTCAATGGTTTCCTAGGTACAATGGTTTCCTAGCAAACATAAGTGCTTGGTTTTGATACCCCATGGTGACTCATGCCTGTAATCCCATATTTGGGAGGGGATGGCAAGAAGATCAGAAATTCGAGGCTATCCTCTACTATACAGTTAAGCTGAGGTCAGTTTGGGACACATGAGAATATACACTTGAAAATATACACAAAAATTTACAAAAATCACAGATGCACAAACTCAATGAATTTTCATAAAACAAACATCTGTTTAACCTTCAGAGCAGTCATTTGCTATCCAGTGATTCCTCAAAAGGACTGCACACATGACAGTGATCTGCTAAGATGACTGAGCTAAAAAAAAAACCCTGCCACCTGACAATAGTACATGTATTATAATGTCACATCACTGCACAATGCATTTTGTGCAACTCTGTTGTCACATAGCTATTCCCCCAGAATTGCTTTAAAAATTTTATGTGAATTTCAAAATATTTATTTATTTTTACTTTTGCGCATTGGTGTTTTGCCATGGGTGTCAGATCTCCTGGAACTGGAATTACAGTTTTGAGCTGCCATGTGGGTGCTGGGAATTGAACCCAAGGCTCCTGGAAAAGCAGTCAGTGCTCCTAACCACTGATCCATCTCTCCAGCCCTAATTTTTTTTTAGCATTCCTTTATTACATGTGTATGTGCATGCATGCACAGACGTCAGAGGACAACTTGAGGAACTCAGTTCTCTCCTTCCATCATATGGGTTCTAGGCATAGAACTCAGGACATCAGCCTTGGTGGCAAGTGCTTTTACCTACTGGGCCATCTTGCCAGCCCTATTTCCTCTGAATTGAGATATTCCCTACTGGGCCAATGAGAGAAGTTCAAAAGACTCAGAAAGCTAAAGATGAGCCCTCATGATGGGCTGTGATCTTTAGAAGGTAGAAGTTCCAACAGATCTGAATGGGTTAGATGCGTGTGTAAAATGGATTTAGAAGGTTCTAAAGCATCCAGAGGAGGATGAAATGGGGAAAAGAAGACGGTGGGACCTTGATGGGTCACTTGAAAGAAAATATAACAAAAGCTTCATGGAACCAGAATTTTTAGAGAAAAAAAAATGGACAGCTAAATCCAGTACCTGTGAGCCTCTGGAAGGCTTTGAAATCTGAGGAACAGTTCATCAAAGGGACAAAAGAAAGAGTGAGGGGGCTAGGGAGATGGCTCAGAGGTTAAGAGGTCCTGAGTTCAATTCCCAGAAACCACATGGTGGTCTACAACCATCTATAATGAGATCTGGTGCCCTTTTCTGGTGTGCAGGAATACAAACAGGCAAAGGCTGTATACATAATAAATAAATAAACCTTTGAAAAAAGAAAGAGTGAATGACAGAGTAGAACAGGCAAAAAGGAGTAAGCTTGCTATAAGGTTAGGTAATGAATGATTCCATCCAGAGTATACTGTATTCATTTTTCCCCCAACAAGAAAGTTGGGCCTGTCGATGGAAGTGTATTCCTTTAATCCCAGCACTCAGGAGGCAGAGTCAGGAGGATCTTTGAGTTTGAGGTCAGCCTGGTCAACAGAGCTAGTTCCAAGACAGCCAGGACTACACACAGAGAAACCCTGTCTCAAAAAAAAAAAAAAAAAAACCACAAAACTAAGAAAAGGAAGGAACTATTGGGACTGAAGACTGTCTTCAGTCTGTCTGTTCAGTGTGGGCCTTTGCAGTAGCCAGAGGCAGCTGATAAAGAGACAAAGACAAAGATTATGTCTCCATCCCAGCAGCTGCCAGGTTTTGGGACTCAGCACCAGTGGCAGACAGGGCAGATAAGAGCATAACCTTGACTTTGAACTAGGACAAGCAGTACAAGCCAGCTCTACAAAGCCAGTCAGGGATGGTGACATGTGCAGTAGCCCTGTTGCAGCTCCCCAGGGTGATGAAAGTGGGGTGGCTCACGGAGAACGGCTGTGGATTAGGAGAGCTACACAAGGCATTATTCCTCTGCAGCCAGCATTTCCCTTTGACAAATAATTCCAATAGCCAGTTCTTTTCATGCTGTATTGGACCTTGCTGAATCTCAAGACCGATTGGCACTTGGTAGTAAGCCTTTAGAGACTTCTCTCCTTTATTTTTTTTCCATTATATAATGCTAACCCTGGAGTATTTTACAGATTAGCTAAAGCATCTAGAAGGACAGTAGAAAATAGCACTTAAAGTATTTAAAGGAATACCTGGTGGGGGAGATACCATGATCAGGCAGGTGGTTTTCTAGGGCAAGGCTCATCCATTACCCTTCATATGTGCTGACCTCGGCAATTTCTCCAAATTCAAGAATTTCAAATGCATAGCTTGTGATAGTAAGAACTGCATTCACACTCTCCTTCAAAAAAAAAAAAGTTCAAAGAAGGTACCCTGCATACATAGGAGGAGACACTCCCAGAAGGCAAGTGTCCTTGGGTGAAAATCCTAGTGCCATAGGTGGACTACCTCCCTATGCTCTATGGGCCAGGGGGCCTCCTAGGGTCCATGAACCATCAAGTTAGTTTAACATATACTACACAGGACTCAGTTGGTAAAATGCTTGCCACACAAGCATGAAGATCTGAGTTCAAGTCCCCAGTACCCACATAAAAATGTGGGGCAGTGTGTATCTAACAGAGTACTAAGGAGCAATGACGCAAATGGATCCAAGGCTCATTGGCCATCCAGCCTAGCCAAACAGATGAACTCTAGTTCTAGAGAAAGACTGTCTCAAACATATATATGTGTATGTGTGTGCATATATATATATATGTGTATACACATATATACATACATACGTTACATTCATACATACAATCTGCTGGGGACCCTTGTTGTTTGTGAGTATATGGTTTCAGGACACACTACATCCGAGCACTCAGGAGGCAGAGTCAGGAGGATCTCTGAAAGTCTGAGGTCAAGCTGGTTTACACAGTGAGTTCCATGACAGTCAGGGCTACATAGTAAGATCCTGGCTCAAATAACAGCAATAATAATGTGGAGACAAATTGAAGAAACACTTGACATGGACCTCTGCCTCCATAAGCTTGCATACCTGCATGCACATGTGTACATACAAACATATACATTACTCCACACATATGCACACACACAGTTCACTCTAAAGGAAATAACTCGTAGTTGGAACTGTAAGCCGGGGCTGAGACCTGTTGTTGAGGGGGTCATAGGTCCCAGCAAGGAGGTCGCTGCTGATACGAATATGACAAACTTCCTCCTGAATATTTATATTTATATCCACAGATTACTAAGTTAGCCTCAGTTGGGAGAGAAACTTCTTTTCTGCAGTGGGTGGTGGTTACTATAGAGACTCAAACAACCAGCCTACTGTAAATAAGAGGCTATTTTTGTGGCATAGTGGCCCAATGCTCAGTCATTAAGTGGAAGAAAATCACATTGCAGAAGAGGGGGCAGAAAGAATGTAAGAGCGGTGAAAGGGGTCAAGTGTTATGCAGCTATTAGTTGCAAGACTCACAACCCACGCACGCACGCACGCACGTGCAAGGACTCAGCCTTTTGTTTTGTTTTGTTTGTGTTTTGAGACAAAGCTTCTCTGTGTAGCTCTGGAACTCGCTCTGTAGACCAGGCTGTCCTCTAACAGAGACCCACCATGCCTGCTGGACTTAACTTTCCAAGTTGTCACTCAGGCTTGGGTG